CATAACTTCAGGGGCACAGACACTGAGAGCAATAATTAATAAATGGGATCTCTTCAAACTTAGAAGCTTCTGTAAGGCAAAGGACACAGTAGACAAGACCAAACGGCAGCCCACAGACTGGGAAAAGATTTTCACCAATCCTATATCCGACAAAGGGCTGATCTCCAAAATATACAAAGAACTCAAGAAACTAGTCAACAAAACACCAAATAACCCTATTAAAAAATGGGGCACAGAACTGAAGAAAGAATTCTCAATAGAGGAAATCAAAAAGGCTGAAAGACACTTAAGAAAGTGCTCAACATCCTTAGCTATCAGGGAAATGCAAATCAAAACAACTTTGAGATACCATCTTACTCCTGCCAGAATGGCTAAAATTAGAAACACCAATGAGGACTCATGCTGGAGAGGATGTGGAGAAAGGGGAACACTCCTCCACTGCTGGTGGAAGTGCAAATTCATACAGCCATTTTGGAGATCAGTATGGAGGTTCCTCAGGAAAATGTCTTGGGGATTCTAAGAAGCAGAAATCCTGGCTGTAGTCTGCAAGGCTGCCTTGTCCCAGCTATTTTGAATGTTGAATCACCTGGGACATTGCTTCAGGGAGTCTTGCTTGATCAAGCCATGTTAGTCTGGAAGGAAGCTACAGCTTTTCATTTTCCATGGAAATAAAAGTAGAAATTCTTTTCCCCAGTAACCTGTCCTTAGACTTAAAATTTGAAGTCAAAGCATTTTAAAATATATAAATTGGATCAATCCAGCAGCATTTCTTTTAACAGTTGTTGCTATTTTCTCAGCAGTTAAACAATACAAAGACAACACAATAGCATATAGTATCCAGACTCTCTGCATTTTCCATCTTCATGTAGTTTTTTTATTACTCTATTTCTTCTACTTTTATTTTTTATTTTTTCATTTTTTAAGACAGGGTTTCTCTGTGTAAATTTTTTCTGTCCTGGAATTAATTCTGTATACCAGGTTTGCTTTGAAATCACAGAGTTCTGCTTGCCTCTGCCTCCTGAGTTCTGGAATTAAAGGCATGTGCCACCACACCCAGTTACTCTCTTTCTTTGTATTTTTTAAAAGCCACTTTATCCTCTGTTTTTTTCTCTCTCAAGCCTAAGTATATTTTAAGCACACTGTAAACCTTTAGAGGTTTTTCTTTATTTGAATCTGTCTTTTCTGTAAATCTTTATCTTTTTCTGGTCAGGAGTCTTTTATTTGCTAAACAACATTGCTAAAATGAAAGCCACAGCTGTTTTAGCTGCCATCTATCCAAGATGGTGGGGGTACGTTTACCGCCAGACTGAGAGCTGTGCTCACTGCCTTGGTCTATGCTGCCATCCAGCAGCATGTTGCCAGCTTGGAGATGTTGTCACTGTCATTGCCAGCTCTCGCACACACCATTTAGTTGTTAGCAAGGTTTGCCATTTATGCCGAGTCAAGAAACCTCCCTTAAAAGAGCTTCCCAAGCTGCCCAAATCTCCGCTTGTCTCTAGCAAAACAGCCCAACCAAGAAAAATGCTGCTACCAAGAAGACTTGTTTGTCTCTGTTATTTTGTTTTTAAAATCCTTTCTTAAGCTTTTGTTAACTTTTAAGTGGAAGTTCTTAGTACCCACATTGTAGGTTGTTACAATCAGTTTTCCCACTAGCCTGGTCCCATTGCTACATCAGCACCAAATAATACACAGAGACACTGTGTAGATTTAAAGCTGTTGGCCTGTTACTAGCATTTCTTATTGGCTAGCTCTGTCTTAAATATTAACCCATCTCTATTTATCTAAGTGTTTCCACATAGTCTTATCTTACCAGAGAGAGGATCTGGACATTTTCCCCTACATCTTGACTCCCTTTTACTACATCTCCCAGAATCCTCCTTGTCTCCTAGCCCCGCCTATCTTGCCTTCCTATTTGCCAACAGTGCTTTCTTCATTAACCAATAAGAGAAACATATTTACAGAATGACTTCTCCCATCACCCAAGGGCCCAGCTGTGGAATTTACTAAGGTTTTAGGGTAGAATTTTGACCTGTAGGATGAGGGTGCCCAGGATGAGTGGTTCTTTGGCCTCTAATTGTACTCTCACTCCATGATAAACATTTACTTTATTTTATTTATTATGTATACAGTGTTCTGTTTGCATGATTGCCTGCATGCCAGAAGAGGGCATTAGATCTTATTGTAGATGCTTATGAACCACCATGTGGTTACTGGGAATTGAATTCAGGACCTTTTGAAGAGCAATCAAAGGTCTTAACCTCTGAGTCATCTTTCCAGCCCCCATGATAAACATTTGAAGATGCCTACAGATAAGGTATACTGAGGTGTCTTAAGATCTAGTTTGGCTTCCTAGCCCATAAACCTTGATCTTTTACTCAAGATGTTGTTAGGCTCCTGGCAGGCTTCTCTGGAAGGTTATTGGTAAGGCTAGACTCTGACAATTGTGAGATCAGATGGATGTCTGCTGAGGAGGGCATTGTGGGAACAGGGCAGGTGGGTGGTCTTTCTAGTCTTATGTGACTGCTGCTGAGTATATGGAAGTCTTATCTGCATGTTTTTTAACAGTGGCAATGCACTGTGGTGTGCTCTTCTCTTGATCATATTTTGAAAACACTAAACTAACCATACCACATCTGACTTTCTGCAATAAAGCCTGGGTGGGTGGGGAAACATTGTAGAAATCTGTAGCAAGATCTGGGAGGAGAAATAGCTGAACAGCACACCTGTGCATACAGTTGTGGAAAGGATTCTTTGTAATGAGTCTTTCTCTGTTCTGCCAGACACTCCCAAATAATTACACAGAGACTTATTATTTATTATAAAAGCCTGGCCCATTGCTTAGGCTTGTTCCTAACTAGTTCTTATAACTTAAATTAACCCATTTCTACTAGCTCATGCTGCCATGTGGCTCATGGCTTATAAGCCCCCCTCCATTTGGCTGGTGACCCCCTGGTACTTCTGCAAACAGTTAATGGCAGGAAGTACATTCCCATTGTTGTGTGCCCATTACTACCCTCTGTCTCCAAATGCCTTTCATATTCCCAAGGAAAGTCCACATGTATCAAACAATGATGCTTTCTTAGGGTTTCTGCTGCTGTGAGGAAACACCATTTCCATGGCAGCTCTTATAAAGGAAAACATTCAACTGAGGTGCTGGCTTATAGTTTCAGAGGTTCAGTCCATTATCATCATGGCAGGGAGCGTGGCAGAGTGTAGGTAGACATGGTGCTGACTACCTCTTGATCAGAAGGCATCAGGAAGTCAGTCCAGCACTGGGAGAAGTTTAGATCTCAAAGCCCACCTCCACAGTGACACACTTCTTCCAACAAGGCCACTCCTTCACTGCCTTTGGGAACCGTTTTCTTTCGAACCACCACAGATGCCTATCCCCATCTTCCCCAAGCTCCCAGTGGCCAACATTCTATTTTTTTGTCTCCATAAATTTGGCTGATTTAGGGATCCTTTGTAACTGGAATCATGAGTTAGGCATGGTGATTCAAGTCTGTAATCCTAACATGTTGGAGGCTGAGACAGGAGGGTCTCTGTGAGTTCAAGACCAGCCTGGGCTATAGTGTGAGACCCCCTCCTCAAGAAAAATAATTAAACTGGGTGTGGTGCATGCCATTAATCCCAGCACTCAGGAGACAGAGGCAGGCAGATCTCTGTAAATTCGAGGCCAGCCTGGTCTACAGAGTGAGTTCCAGGACAGCCAGGGCTACATAGAGAAACTCTTGTCCCAAAAAGCAAGCAAACAAACAAAAACAGAAAAATAATTGAAATCCTATGGGAGTTATCCTTTTGTGTCCTTAGGAGAAGTCTAAAATCATAAGGACAATCAAATGAGAAAATTGGAGGGTGAATCCCGAGCACTGGTGGTATTATTACATGTTCCTATGATTCTAATGGACATCCATGGAGACAAGTGCTTTGCATCTGACTTACTTCCGTGAGCCTCTTCCTATCACAAACGCATCCCAGCACCTGCTAACAGGTCTCCCTCCACATGTGTAAGTATGTGTTATAGCAACACAGTTGTGATTTGATGGCACTGTCTCTCCCAGGCCTGTGGTTTGGACACTTCCTCTCTACTTGCTATTTAGGAGACAGTGGAATCTCTAAGAAGTTTGCTTAACTGGCAAGAGCAGGGGGCCAGGCCATGAAGGTTCTACCAGTCTGTCTGCTCCCTGGCCCACGGTATTGTGAACAGCCTCTGCCACACACTCCTGCGACTGAGATCTGAGTTGTTGGCTCAGCCCTGCTCCTCCACAGTGGGCTGAGCCCTCTGAAACCTGGAAGCAAAACAAATCTGGCCTTCTTTAAGATGTGCCTGTCAGAAATTATGAAAGAGCAATTTGAAAGTAAATCATATGAGCAGCTCCATGGTAACAATAAATCTTCCTCAGCATGGGAATCAATAATCAAGTGACATGGAATGGGTCTTAGACAAAAGGAGTCCCTTCTCACAAAGTCATTCATGGATTTAACTGTGTGTGTCTGTGCACCTGTGTGGGAGTGCCCTAGAGGACCAGAAAAAGGTGTCAGATCCCCCAAGATGACGTTGCTGTCAGTTGTGAACTGCCCCAGGTGGGTGCTAGGGACCAACTCGGGTCCTTTTCACTGAGCCATTTCTCCTGTCCCCCTCCTGAGGGATTTGAAGAAGAGAAATAGTTACACTATGTCTGGCAGCAGCTGGCGGTAGTAGAGGCAGCTGGCCACTCCTCTGTGAAAGACCCTTTGTTCTTTCCCCGCCTCTCTCTGTGGGGCTGGAGCATGGGGCAAGCCAGGTCTGCAGCTGTGGCCCCCTGGTACAGAAGCTGAACTCTCAACCCAGCACACTTCAGTCAGGACATTCTACGATGACTGAAACCCACATCGCTTAGAGGCCCCGCCCTGGGAGTGTCTCAGACATCCGCGATGAGGAGATTCTTGCATGTGGGTGGCAGGGCCAGGCTGCTGGAGGCCTGAGAACCTCTTGTGAGGCTTTTGACGACAGCCGACAGCCGGTGAAGGTGTGTGTGCTTCCTCTGCTGGCTCTGGTCCGGTCGGACTCAACACACAAAAGCCATGGGGTCCCTTGAGGGACACCTGCTTCCAGGAATAGGCTTCTTTCTCTACTCATTGTACTACTCGGTGCTAACATCCTTGGCCCTGCTACGGGAGCAGAAGGTCCTCAAGCACCCCATGCTCCTGAGGAAGCTGTGGGGACACAAGCTGTTTTGGCAGGTATCGTATGAAGCGCTAGTGAAGGTGCTTGTCCCCATCTTTGGCATTTTTGGCGAATTCTTCTACCCTCTAGGGTTAAATCGTCTGCAGATGATAGACTGGAAGGACCCTCGGCGGCCATTTGTTTTCAAGGACAACTGGCAGCATGCAACCATGTTTGGGTTCTTTGTTCTCAGTGGCGTGGTGGACATGGTGAGCCAGTCACGGCTGGCACACTGGGGTGTGAAGCTGGAACGTGCAGCCGAAGCCCTGGCTTTCTATGTGGTGATACTGCTAATGGCAACCCACATCGAGAACAAAAGCTCCATGGAGATCCGAGTGCATCTTCTGTTAATGGTGCCATCCTTCTTGCTTGCTCTGGTGATAACTGTGGAGATCTGGGTCCCCAACCATCCCCCGCTCTGGATCCTCAAGTGTTGGTTGGGGCTGGTGTTCAGCAACTGGATGTTTCAGATCTGTGAGATGTATGTGCCTACCACTGGACAGCCCTGGCGGTCAGACAGCCCTACAGACCATGCATTCCTAACTGTCTTCTTCTGCTGGTACATGGCCTTGGCGGCTGCCATGTTCATTACCATCTATGGCCTTTGCAGTCTCTGGCACTATCGCTATTCTTCATGGAAAAAGACTCCTGGTGCTAGGTACCAGCGGTGCCGGATGGAGTCCACTGGTGAAGAGCTAGAAAAGCTCAGGGCGGAAACCCTGGCACAGGATGGAGTAGTGTAGGACAGAAGCTGTCTGGAGTGCCGTATGCACAATCTGAAACCCACATCATAGCTTTCTACCCCAGGACTAGCTTCTTCACCCTAAATAAAACTTCTAGCTCCAAAGATGACTTCTTGGTTGTCACTCTGTTCCATCCAGGTCAGTGTTTTACCTGTTTCCTTATCTATATGGTTTCTGGTCATTCAAATGCAAAGATCAAAGCATTACTTTACTGTAATAGCTTGGGTAGCTTTTCTTATAGAAGAAAACAAACTTAAACTGAGTCTACTGACTACTGAGAAGTAATGAGGAACTTGGTCACAATGAGGAGGGGTCAGGCAGTTTATCAAGGGCTCGGGCCATGAGCAAGAAGAGTCCAGGGAGGAATTCTTGAAAGTGGTTGTAATAAGGTGATTAAAACACAATTTTAGGGCTGGTGAGATGGCTCAGTGGGTAGAGTCACCTGCCACGAACCTGAGGACCTGAGATCTGTCCTTGGGACACACAGTGTGGAAAGGAGAGACCTGATACGTGAAAATTGTTCTCTGACAATTCTGTGGCACACGTGCCACCACACACACACTAAAAGTGATAAGATGTAATTAAAATGTTTAAGCAAATTTAAGCACTGGGGATGTATCTCACACGTAAATTGTGTGCCTGGGGCTCTGGATTCAGTCTCTAGCCATGCAAAATAAAAAAGCAAACAAAATAATTTGAAGTGACTTGATTTTGGCTGTGATACAAATCAACTTATTCCAACCTCTCTAGGCTATTGTGTGCATTATACCCTGTGTGAGTGCTTCTGGGGAGAAACGGAAGGGGGGAAAATGGATCTTCCTTGAGAATGGGATGGGAGTTGTAATAGCTATGAAGTGTAGGTGGGTACCAATGATCTCTGCAGACATCTCCAAATGAGATGCAGATACCCAACATCTGAAGTCTGAAGCATGACGGGCGGGGGCATGTGGAGAAAGGGGAGACATGGACACCATGAGGCTGCTGCATTTACTGTCTCCACACAGCCATGGATGCTCTCCTTGAAGGACTGAAAGCTACTAGAAGCACAGAGGTTTGCAGATAGCAGACAAGGAAGCCAGTTTTAAATGCCACAGGCACCCTGAAAAAGAAACGGTGATGTGCAGTGTATGGAACATTCTCTGGGGGGCAGTGGAGACTGCTGTGGAGTGTGCAGACTGATGCCAGCAGAGGGGCCTGTCCCCCTGAAACAGCAGGATCCAGGCCTCCTTCCCCCCCACCCCAAACCTTCTTCCCCTAGCATAGCAGTAACCAACCCAAGCACAAACTATTTTCTACTCCAAAATCCCAGAGCCAGAACCTGATTCTGAGACTAAGAAAACTTAAACTTTGAAGGTTCCCGTGAGCCAGGGGTGGTGTTCATATTATCACTGATAATCTGTATATCACAGAACATTCACAAAAGTAAGGATTTCAATTTTTCTCTCTCTAAAAACTGTTCTCCAAGGTACACAAACTATGTTCTCCGAAGAACAACCTGGCTCTGCCTCACCCCACAAACTTAGCACGGGTGTGCTGTCAGGACACGTCAGACAAACCCATCTCTTCTGGATTGACAGAACATTCTTCCTGAGAGGGCAGTGTTAAAACTTGTCCACATACAGCCTGAAAGTAAAGGCTTAGGATATGAATGTGTTACACACAAGTTGAGAGTCACTTGTTAAAATACAGTTCCTAGGCCAACAAATATAAATGAGGGACTGGGGTGGGGAGTAACTAAGGGGTAATGTGCTTGCTTGATATGTCAGGAGGCCCAGGGTTATAGCACCACCCTAGCACCACACAAACAAACATGAGTGTTAGCAGATCCTAATCATGGCTGAGAAAACGGATTAGAGTTAAGAGAAGATGGGCCCAGGGCAGGAGGCAGGCATAATTTACACAGATTGACTATTTATGTCTCTGTGCTTGGATTTGTCTGCACATCTGGACCTTGTAGAGTGAATTGGTCACCAATCTCTAAAGAAAACAGGATGTTGAAATAGACAGACAGATGGACAGATAGCAAAGTGTGGCATGTCCAAAATCTGTAGGACAGGACAGTAGGATGGAACCGAGTTCCTCAGTTTTGTGAAAATAGAGATCTCTCAGGGAACACTTGTCTTTTCTAGAACCTTCAGTGGCTGCACGAATGAAGCCTGTGATCAATGTAAAGGGTGATCTTCTCGTTCAATGTTAATAAAAAATACCATCACAGTAACATCTACAAGAATATGTGACCGGACATGACAACTGGATAATTTGGCCTAGCCTAGATGACATAAAACCAACTGTCATACCCAGAATATCAGAGTATCACCACTCACTTGAACATGATTTTTAACTTACAAGTTTTGAAGATTTTCCAAAATAACAATACTAATTTCATTTCAGTTGAATTTCATCATTAAGGCTCTGATTAGTATGTTAATATGCATGTAATCTTTCCTGAAGTTTGGTTCTAAGCTTCATCTAGTGGGGGAAGGGTTTATAGATAGGTGACAGTTACCTTTCTGCATGATTTCTTGACACAGGGTTTCTCTGTGTAACAGGTGTGGCTGTCCTGGAACTCACTCTGTAGATCAGATTGACCTCTAACTCATAGAGATCACCTGTCTCTGTCTTCTGAGTATTGTGATTAAAGGCGTATACCACCATGCCCTTCTGGTGACAGCTACCTTTAAAAACTAAAAATCAATGTTCAAGAGATTTTTAAAAATTATTAATGTGCTGTGCACACATAAATTTGTTACTATACATTTTACATTTCAGACATCTTAGAAAATGTTGAAAAGTGTTTTGAAATTTATCCAATGCCATAATCCCAAGTTAATTATTGCCTAGAGGCTAGATGGGTGGATGGCAGGGCTTTCTTGCCGATGACTCAAATCATGCTTGGTGACTAAGTCAAGATAAGTCAAGAGGCTTAGAGGCAACGATCGCAAAGGTGAAGAAACCAAGAGTGGGAACCTAGTGTTGTGGGAAGGGAATTGAGAAAGGTTGACCACAATATGAGGAAATGACAGCCCTGGGTTGGGGAATCCTGGAGTCTTTGTCCTCAGTGAATTCTTAGAGGTCACTTTTTGTCATCAAGAAGCTAAGAAGGAAGGCACTAGGGATAGTATGACCTTCAGGAGGGGAAATGTTCCAGGTTAAGCAGGGAGTGTACTGCTCAGAAGCAGCTGTGGTGATTCATACCTGTAATCGCAGCAGCGCTCAGAGGATCCGCAGCTGAGCTACTCTGGGCTACCGGAGCCCCTGTTCCAAAAATAGCAAATGAGAGCTAGGGAGATGGCTTAGTGTGCTCTGCAAGCATGGGGCCTGGGTTTGAACCCTCGGCACGTAGGCATAGGGACCCGGCTGTGTATCCCTGTCACCCCAGCCTTTGGGGCAAAGACATCAGACCTCACTGGCCAGACAGCCAGCAGAAATGGTGAGTTTCTGGTTCAGTGTCCTGCTTCAGGACAATAATGTGGAGGGGGATAGAAGACACCTCTGCTCTGGCCTCTGCATGGGCACACACAAGCATACATGGGTATACACACACACACACACACACACAGAGAGAGAGAGAGAGAGAGAGAGAGAGAGAGAGAGAGTAAAATACTGCGACCAGTTAAATTTAACAAAGTACACTGGAAACAAAGATGCTAGAGTGCTAGAGCCAGGCAACATCCCAGACCAAAGACACTCTAGAATGACCCCTCCCACCACAGGCTATATTTATATGCAGAGATAACATACAGAAACAACCTGACTAGGAACTTGGGTTCAGTCAGCCTGCCTTGCAAGTTTGAGAACATCCACAGAGAAGCCAGGTATGACCACACGTACCTGTAATCCCAGAATTGCAGGGGCAGAGAGGTGGACTCCTAGAGCTAACTGGTCAGGGAGTCTAGTCAACTGGCACACTTTGGATCAAGTAAAGCCTTACTTGTGGAGAACAAGTAGGATGCCTGACGTTAACCTCTAGCCTCGACATGCATAGATACATATGTGCATAAGGATAATTCCACAAAACACACCCACACAATCACATATGTATTTTATGTACATGTTACAAACACCCTCTCTCCCTTCTCCCCCCACAAGGAGGCAATAGCCTCATTGACTGCAGTTGTCACTCACTTCATATGGTCATATTTTAAACATTTTTTACATTTACTTATGGGTTTGTGTCTGTGTGTGCATAGACATGTGCACACACACACACACACACACAAACACACACATGTACAGAAATAGATGCCATGGTGTGCACATCAAGGACCGAGGGTGACTTTGGGGGGTGTGGTTCCTGGGAGTCAGTTCTCGCTTTCCACTCTGTGGTTTCCAGGGTTGAACTCAGGTATTCAGGCTTGGTGGCAGGCACTTTTACCCACTAAACCATAACATAGACCCCAAATATAGACATATTCAGGTAGCTTTTGGTCTCTGTTGGCTGGAAGTTGGCTGCTATTATTGGCTAAGATCAAGTTACTTGGTTTCAGACTTAGAGTCAGGTTGCTATCCATGACAGTTAATTTGTAACTCAACTGGGCTTGGAGATCCTAGGAGACACACTTCTAGGCATGTCCAAGCAGGCATTTCTGAGAGATTTTAAGCAAAGTGTAGACTTACCCTGATTGGGGGCAGCACCATCCAGTGAACTGAAGTCCTGGACTGAATAAAAAAAGAGGGGAAAATGGAAAGTATGAACAGCTGCATGTGTCTCCTTTCCAACTCTGAACAACTGTGACCAGCCACCTCATGCTCCCACCACCATGCCTTCCCTGCAATGGCAGGCTTGTATCCTCTCAAACTGTGAGCCAAGACAAACCCTTCCTCCCTTCAGTTGCTTCATCAGGTATTTTGTCACAACAATGAAGAAAGTAAATAATACATTGCCCCACAGAGGTATCAATGGAAATAAATGAAGCACTTCATTTACACATTTATATTTAGAAATCATGTTGCACAATTGGTTCAATAAATGTTAGGTTGAGAGATGGAATATACAAGTGGACAATGTTGGCCAGACTCTTTACAAAAACAGAACTATTATTTGAAATCTGCAGCAACCCAGTAAGTTACCTGCTACCTGCTGAGCAGTGCTAGGAGTTAACCCACTAC